GTGTTGGCAAAAACATCTTTAATTTTTATAATAGTAAAGATAAAAATATAGGTACGGTATAATTATATGTAATTACATTGTAACTTACACGTAATTATATGCTCCTTGTGCTCAGTGGAGGTCACGGGATTTCACTCATTTGTATCTAAGTAGAGTTAACATTTAGGCATCGTTCGTTTAGGGGTGATAGGGGAGATTGGCTCTCGTTTTCCGCGCGCACGCTTTTCAAACTACTAAACGGTGCATTTTTTGTAAAAAAATTTCTATAGGAAAGTTGCTTTAAAAAATCATATTAATCCATTTTTGAAATTTAAAATAGTTAATACTCAATTAATCATGAGCTAATGGCTCATCTCGTTTTGCGTATCTTCCCAATCTTCTCAATCCCCTTCTCCTCAAACATTCCTTAATCGCTTTTGTTGTATAGTAAAAACAGAAAAAGATGCGTGCAAGACATCACTTGGCAACATACATGCACTGCTTCCCCGTACGTATGTATGTATCACGTACATGCATGTCACGAACCGCTGCCACCAACGAGGATATCACGTACGAACGGCGCGCTGCACCGTTAGAAAAATCGACAAATATTAAGAAAAAAATTTGACGACAAATTTCTAGCAAAACCAAACTTGTCTCCCCCAAACGCCAGGCCGAGCCACAGCCCACGTACGGTGCGTTCTTGCTGCCGAGAAGAATTAGTTCATTTAGTTCCCTTAATTTGTCGTGTAGTGTAATTCTCATCCCTGAACTGCAAAAATTGGATACAACCTGTTTCCAGCTTAAAAAACAGTGCAAACAAGATCCCTCAGTAGTATTATCCCTAGTTTTGGATGACGTGGCTCCTTTGACTAGATCTTATCTTACGTGGCATTAACGTGGCGGTAACATAGCACTTTGATCCAAAAAATAAAACAGGCAACATTTAAAACTAAAAAATTAAAACAAAATATTGGGGGCCCATAAGTCAGTCAAATAAGAAGATAAAAATATTGGGACCCACCTCCTCCACCTCAGCCTGTCTACCTCTGTCTCCTCTCTCCGCCGCGAGAGCATGCAAAGAGAGACAAGGCGGGGAGGGCGGCGACGGGTACTGTGGGGTGGTGCCGCTGCTAACATCCGACCACATGGCGGCTCCATCTGAAGGTAGTGACCAAGCTGGAGTTGGGGTAGAGGTCTTTGGGTGCCATGCCTATCTCTTCCACTTAGCAATCCACCGCCATGGCCACCGCTGCGGGCTCCTCTTCCTCTATTCCTGCAAGCCAGTCTCAAAACCCGTTGCCCCGTGACTTCCTCGTTCATGTCAAGGCCTACCTCTCTCCAGCCGCGACGGCGTCGACAAGCTCCTCAAGATCTCCCGCTACACCGCCCACTTTGCCCTTGCCGGGTGCTCGCTGCCCCCCGCCTCCTCTGGCCGTCCGCCTCAGCAACATGCGATGACGACTTCTTTGTCTGCCATAGAGAACGAAGAAAAACCCCAATATGTTAGTCGCCGGTAACTCTAAGTCGGCAATGGTAGTTTTCGTCGGGAGTCAAAAAAGGGAACAAGGTGGATACAAGAATTCATTTTTGCAATTCAATTCTCAAAATGCAAGGATAAAGAGAATTCTCTACTTTCTTCTACCTTGGTCTCCGGCAGAGCTTCGTACCTGATAATGTATTATACAATGCCCTTATTCAGAGTAGTCCAACGGAGTTGTATAATCAAAGATAAAAGTGGAGACACAAAGTTTAAGGGTGAGACTCTCTTTCTTATTCTAATCATCCCATCAAGCTTGATGTACAAATGAGTAGCCCTAAATATAGTGCAATCCTAAATATGCAAAGTTTGGTGATGACTCAATAAGTATATTTGGGCTAGGCATTTGTGGGCCAAGCCCAAAGTTTCTTTTAACAATTACCACTTCAAAATCAAACTGCTCCCACAGCGCAGCACGTCAGCACTCAGGACCTAGGGATGAAAACAGTTGGAAAAACCCTCTACCATTTCCATTTTCATTTTATTTTCTCGAAAATGGAATTGGAATAGTATACTCGGAAACGGTAACAATATCAGTAATGTTGGTATATCGAAAACGGAATCGTCGGAACGGGAATCTACCGATGTCGGTCGGAAGTCGAAAATTCATGTCGGAAGTAGCGAACTGTGGTATCAATCCACATTTAACTATGTATGAAGATGACCTTATAATTTCACCCTTGCATCATCACGCTGCCACACAACACCATTATATGATGATTAATAAGTTGACAATAAGATTGACAAACAATATAAATAAAGTTCAACTATACTTCAACATCAATGTGGATAAAGCATACAATGTGGCTTACATGATAGGATTACATCATAACTAATATTGTCCGACTTTTTTTTAGGATATAAATTTGAAGTCTTCGAGAACACCAAGCTCACAAGTTGGCATGGCTTCAGCTGATCAGCTCCTTGTCAAACATCATTCATCATTTCATCATCAATTGACATAGCTACATCGTCGTCCTACAGACTACAGTGGCACATTGCATAAGAACTTTTATGTTGACACTGTATAGCTACCATTGTAATTAAGTTTTATGCTAAACTAGACATTTTGGTAGTTTCCAGGTCAAGGGGGGTCACTGAGTGGAGTCAAGTTGGTGGGGCCCGCCAGTGGGTCCCACTGTCTTTCTTTTTTTCTTTTCTTTTCTCTCTCTTATCCTTCCCTTCTATCGGTTCCTTCTCTTGCTCTCTTGATTTCTTCTTTGTTCTCTCTCATTCTCTTCTCTGCCTTCGGCTCCTTCACGCGCGCCCGAGAGGAGAGAGGTGCCGGAGATGGCGGCCTGGCGCAGGGCAGTGGTGGGGGAAGGAGAGAGGAGAAAGGGGCGGCGCCAATGGGGAAGAGGAGGCCCCGGTGCGGCGGCGCTCGGCATGGCGTCATTCGGTGCTTGGCGTGGTGGCGCTTGGCTCGGCGGCACGGAGGCCGGCGGTGGAGGATGGGAGAGGGAAAGAGGGCCGGCTGCGATGGAGGTTGTCGGGGCGAAGGAGGCTACGGCCGGCGTCGGCGACATCTACTGCCGGCGTCGGCGACATCTACTGCTTTAGTCTCTTAATGCCTAATGGGCTGCTTCTGCTCCGGCTAGCCAGGCCCAGCCGGCTTTCTTCTTCGGAATTTTGTCGGAAATTTGACGGAAATTACCAATAAAAAACGGTTACCGACCAAACGGTCGGAAAAAAACCCATATCATTTCCGCTACCATTTTCGAAAGAGATTACCATTTCTATTTTCGATACTGATAATTACCGATACCGACTGAAACGGTCGGTGCAAACCGGAAACGGAAGCCGGAATTCTCGGAGATTTCCGTACCGTTTTCACCCCTGTCAGGACCCACACAGAATCGTGCGATCTTCGCGTCGCCATGGAAGCCAACCTGCTGTCGCCGCGGCGCATCATCTTCTTCGGGAGCATGTTGGCGGCGGCGGCCCGCCGCCGCGACCCGGCCTCAGCGGCCTACTCCATGGCGTCCATGCTCGTGCTGGTGCTCTTCTTCCGCTGCATGGGCGCCGTCGCGCGCGCTCCGGCGGGGCCACGGAGGCAGTGGCTCAGGGCCGCCGTCGTCGCGCTCTGCGTCGCCCTCACCGGCCTCGTCCAGCTCCAGATCTACAGCCCCGCCGTGCCCCTCTCTGTGGCGCTCGCCATCTGGGCCGTGTCCGTCACCTGCTTCTCCGCCGTCTTCCTGGTTGCCTCCGCACGCCCGCAAGTCGCTCGATGAAATGGCGACCTCGGCTTTGACGTTTCTACTACTGGTACGGTACCACCAGACTTGTTATCACTACCCTCCCTACTGCTGATGAGTCACTTGCAGGATTCAGACAATGTTTGCATCTGTAAATATCGTTACAGGTGTTCTTAGACTTCTTTATAGGATTGACCGTGAATTCGTCCAAATCTGACAAATGCTAGTTTTTGCTGTAAGTATGCATGATTTCCGTAAAACTGGGCATGTGCGGTCGAAATTTACTTACAGTAGGTGCCTTGCTGCTGGAATTAAAATTTCATGTGGGCGAAGAATATGTCCACACTGATGGTTGGAGACTTGGAGTGTATGATAATATCTCTCATTCCATGAAACATTGAACAATCATGTTGCTTCTCAAGTCCCTACAGGGCTACACCTGTTGAATACACAATTGAACATATCTCTTCTCAAAGCATGACCAATTCTAGATTTTTTTTTTTCCTGCACATAGCATTTCCTTATCATTGTTGCATGCTTCGATTTACCCTGTCCAACTGGCTACTGTATCTGGGCATGAATCGGTAATTCTGTTTTATCCAGCTTCGATCCATGAAGCATATTTGGTTGATACTATCTGAATAGCATTGTTACTTGTCTATTTATTACGTTCTCTTAGTATGATTTGGGAAAGTACTATTACCTTTTTTTTCTTTTGCTGAAACTGGGGTACGCAATTTGTCACAATCTCTGATTAAACCCAGACAGAGTTCATTTTAGAAAGAACACATGGCCACATGGTACTGTAGTTCACCAAAGTACATGTTCAGGTGATCGTTTTGGTGTAACAATATCAAAATTAGCTCACCTAACGCCTTCTCAGTCTTATATTGGCAACATGGCACTGTCAATGACCTCAATTTTCTTTATACCATATCATCACTGACTCCGTACTATACAGTACGGACAACCTTAATAAATCATGGAAGAATAGTCAAAGACAAATTAAACATGCGTATCATAAATTGTCAAAGACTGATTATTTTTTTTTAAAAAAATGTCTATTGTGAGATTTTGGAGCCGCCTATGCCTTGTTCAGAGAGTGTAAGATTTTGAGAAACGGTTGATTGATAGTCAATCTCTGAGAATCTAAAAATGGCTGGATTCCCAATTAATTTTTTGAATTTTATAGCTGCATATTCTCAAAATCTGGAGGGAGAATCTGCATTATTTTGAAAAATTGAAGATTCTGCGAAACGTTATAATGGCTAGAATCTGTACTGTACTGTTTCTGGAACATCGTGGGGGTATTTTTCATTCAAATCTTGTGTGTAACAAGTAACAACAAGATACAGAGGACCATAGATCACAATGTAGTTGCCATCTGAAACATAACTTTAACAAATTGAGACATAGATATAGAGAAAATAAAATGGTATATACGTACCCGAATTTTTGGTGATGGAAGTATATATCACGACCTATATATATACTGCTACTATGGACTATATATATAGATAGACTCTGCTAATGGCAGGGGCAAATGACATCGGTGACAATGTGGAGGGAGTACATGACGACGACGAAGTGGACGGCCAGCGCGACGAAGCCGGCGATGAGCGCCGCCATGACGTGGTTGCAGTAGGCGTGTATCTGCCCGCACACCGGCAGCCACCCGGCGTGCGAGTTGCCGTTCTTCGCGATGTCCGATATGGCGCCGGCGGAGGCCACGGCACCGGCGAGCACCATCCCCAACACCTGCGTACATGGACGGACGGAGAAATATTGATCGAAAACTGGTTCTACAATCTTTTTTTTTACCAGATGATACCATGCATGCGACAAGCTTTAGGATCATCCGTGCAATTTAGTATAAATAAATCTGGTCATTTTAAAAGACGGAATAATGTGAGCCTAGTATGGTGCTTTCTACTTGTAGTAGAAAACAATTTATAAACTGTTGATCTCATTTGATCGAAGGGTTTGTATCTATTTATATTATCACCTTAGATAGTGGCAGTAGAAATGTCGAGGATCATTATTGTCAAAAAAAAAAAAAGTGTGAAGGGACATAATCGTCATTTAGTAGTGGGTAAACCTTTTTTTTTCTTCTTTTTTTAGCTTTTTAGATAGAATATGAGCAATACCAACACAATGAATGACCACATATCGATTTAGCCGGGGAAAACCATAAATAACAAAGTTACCCGTAATAACTGTATTAGTAAATTACCGATTTACTCTTGGTAACGAACGGTTCAGATCATTTTTACTAGTAGTATAATACTACTAGTAGAGAACACTGAATCATCTTTCTTGATCATTTCGATTAGAAAATGGCTATAATGTATTGCGGGATCGCCTTATGGATAAACTAATAAATGTTTAGATTTTGTGATTGTTTTCTACGAGTTATTGAATATCAACAACTTATTATATAGAATCTCATTTTTGTTTTTCTAATGAGTTATGAGTTACAAGCTCCTAGGATACAATGGAATTTTCGCAAAGTTGATCTTTACGAGTTTTACCATCAATTAATTGATTGGAAAGTCCAATGCCGAAAAGAAGGACATTCATTATCTTGCTGTTTAGAATGAATCGATGAAACGAGGGAATCAAACAATATTGTAAGTAAATTTACAAAACAGAGAGGAGACAGTACCACATCTGTTGTTAGCGCCAATCTGGAGAGGGCACTCCCTGCCGGCACGGCCAGTACGAGCAGGCTATACGCGGCCGCCACGGCATACGCCACCACGAAGAAGCTGCCACAGAACACAACAGTACGTGCAGAGAACTCAACCGACGATGGCATTGGAGCAATGTTGCTAAATCGTGATCTCAAATCGAAATCGGATGTTCTAAGTAGGACCATATATAATCATAGAATCATATACGTAAAAATCACAAAATCGTAGATTCTATATGTAGGATAGGAGAATCAGGCACCTTAAATAGAATCGTAAAGTCATAAATCATATGACAGAATTGAGATTTTGACAACTTTGTACAGAGGCAAAGTTAATCAACAACATGTATATATATGTAATATGTTCTACTTACATAAAAGATGGGGTGTAGGAGTACTTGGCCTCCATCTGAATGCCGAAGAAGCTGGTGGTCTCACGGCTCGTCACCATGACGACCGCCGCCGTTGCAGCAGCCGCCGCAGCGGCGAGCCGGAGCACGGCGTTCATCAGCCGGTGCACCTTCGCCATGATGCTGCCTGTGCTTGCTGCTGCGCGAACACAGCTGACAGCAGCTTCAGCCTTTAAAGCTAGGGATCAGAAACAAATAGGCATTAATTTGGCAAGATTCAGGTGTGATTTTAGATAAGCACACTGGCCCTGTTATTGTTTTTGTGGAGTGGTTCGGCAGTTGATCGATCAGCTAGCTATATAGATGGAAAAGAGCGCGAAAACGAGCAGATGGTGGGCAGGTTGTTGGGCAACTTTACCGCCCTAACTTGTTCCAATTCTTAGGTGCACATGTATACACACACCTTCTGTCACACCCGGAAAGAAAAATGAAAAGATCAATATAAATGTATTTATGTGTCTCTTATATATGTCAAATGTCTTGGTGACACGAAACATTTCGGAAGATGTGCGAGAAATCTCGGACCATTGTTGTTTCTTGTGGGACAGAGACATGATGATGTGCGAAATTTCTGGTGTTTAGTAAATCTGTTTCTTCCCTTCATAGTCCATTTCTTGAAGAAAACTTAGGGTACATGAAAGGGACAGTTCATCTACTTGTTGTTTCGGGCAACAAAACTGATCTTATCTCGGTGTGTAGCGCTTAGCTTTATTGTTGAACTGAACCAGCACGGTGGTCTGCACATTATATCGGACTGTAGGACACCAGTTCATCATTCGGAGAAATTTGGTAATTCGACACTTCCTTTGTTGTTGTCAATAGTACCGGCGCCTGTGTGGCTCTCAGTGTAGTCTCATCACTCGGAGAGATTAGTCCTAATTCTTCCTCAAAGTTGTCAAACACGACGCAAGTGAAGAATGTGAAAGTATAAGTATAATTGAGTATCTTGAATGTTAGCTTCAAAATCATAACAAAAGTACTGATGAACAGAAATTGAGATAATGCAATACATCATCTCAAAAGGCCAAATAGCTAGCCTTCTTAAAAAATCACTTTATTTTGGAAGGGGTTGTCATTTTGCATGAGATACTCAATTCCTTGCACCAGAAAAAACATATAGTGGCATTCTCTTCAAGGTGGATTTTGAAAAAGCCTATGACAAAATAGATTGGGTATTTATTTACGGAATGTTAAAGGCAAAAGATTTTCCTGGCCAAGATTGGGTATTTATTTACGGAATGTTAAAAGGCAAAAGATTTTCCTGACCAGTGGTGCAATAGCTTTCTCTCCAGAATCGCGTAGTCAGCACATCCGACGAGCGGACCCACTTATACTTTTGTTCTCGCTTCGTGTAAAAGGGTTAACCCAGAAGTGATATGGTTGGAGAGATGAGGCCTTATAAGTTGGTTCCACCCTTGCTAGACTAGCAAGGTGGTACTAAACATGCGCACATAGCTTACATGGGCCACACATACCTCATCCTAATTGGGCTAAGATGTCACAGGGTGTGATTGAAAAATAAAGTAAATGATTAAATTGGGCCATATTTTAAAACACATAAAGAGCTAGGACAAGGTGATCCACTCTACCCCCTGCTGTTCAATTTGGCAGCAGAAGCACTAACCTTGTTAGTGCAAAGGGCTGAAGAAATCGGTTTCTAGAAGGGCTGGGAGTGAGTGAAGAAAACAAAATTACAATTCTACAATATGCAGATGATACAATCTTCTTGTTACCAGATAATGAAAATTATGCAAAAAACTTGAAATATATTCTGTCTTTTTCAGTAACTGTTAGGTCTCATGATTAATTTTAATAAAAATGAGGTTTTTTTATTGGGGGAGCAAAAGACAAACAAGAGGTTTAGAGCCAGATCTTCACATGCAACATAGGTGCTTCGCGTGTCTCAATAGATCAAAAAAGGATCCTAAAACAAGACTGAAAAAATGTTGAAAACAAAATGGAACACTAGTTGGGATGCTGGCAAGGCAGACTCCAATCCATTGGAGGGATATTGATCTTAATCAACTCAAGCTGCAGCAATGTGCCCTTATACATGATCTCTTTTTATATATTACCACAAGGGGTGAAAGAGAGACTGGATTATGTTATAAGGAGATTTCTATGGCAAGAGAACCAGGGGATTAGAAAATACCACTGGCAAAATGGTCAGAAGTTTGTTCACCTAGAGACCAAGGAGGCCTGGGTGTTCAAGATCCAGAAAATATGAACAAAGCATTGTTAGGAAAATGGATCCGGAATTTGGAAAATAAAGAAGTTTGGTGGCAAAACATTCTGAGGAGAATGGATATGGAATTTAGGTCATAAACCTCTTTCTGTGCTAGATGGTAAACCTGGTAACTCCCATTTCCGGAAGGGGATAATGGTAGTAAAAAAACTCCTTTTATAGTTACTGCACAAAAATAGTGGGGGATGGGAGGAACACTCTTTTTTTGGAGGACAGTTGGAGGGGGGTGACCCTTGAATGAACAATTTCCAGGGTTGTACCACATTACCCTGACAAAAAAGATAACTATTGCTAATCTGCATCAGAAGGGGCCAGACTGCATCAAATTTAGAAGAAACCTACATGGAAACAAACTGAAGGACTGTGATAAAAACAGTAATAGTTGGGAGTCTTTGCGGTTGGATGGAAATTGTAAAGACAAACTTAGGTAGAATTTTACAAAAGATGATAAGTTTACTGTGAAATCTTTTTACATGGCTTTGAAAATGCAACAGGTAAACTTCCCACATAAAAGAATATGGAAATTCAAAGTCCCTATGAAAATGAAAATTTTTGTATGGTTGTTTACCAAAAACAAGATTCCGACTAAGGAAAATTCATATAAAAGAGGGTGGAGAAAGGGAGAAAAAAATGTCAATTTTGTGATAAAGAGGAAGATGTGCAACACTTATTTTTTGAATGTCCAATGGCAAGACCTTTTGATGTGACAATGGCTACTACGGATACATCCGTTGCTCACATCATGGATGAACAACAAGATATCATGTTCGAGTCCTCCAAGTGCCAAAATCCAATTCGTCCACCTGCTACACTGCTGACTTCAAACGGCCGCCGAAGCTCCATACGACCTCCGTTTTTGGCCCGTGAGTACTTGATGGAAAGCTCTCGGAGTCCTCTTTCCAATGCATCAAGCCTCATTGCCAAATTCCATCTCAGTCGGCAGCAACTGAAGAAACAAGGTGCTGCGACACCTGTAATGGGCCTATGGGCTTGTAACTTCATTTGGGACCCCGGCCCAGGTGGGGCCCATGTGGGGTGCGCCCCAAGCTGGTGGAGCACGACCCTAGGCACCCCTAGGTCGTCCTCCCACCCCTATATATAGCTAGTTACCCCTTCAGGGTTTCTGGGGTTTTGTTAGATTAAAGTTTAGCCATTGCTACTTGCTTGCAGCGCGCGTGTCGGCTAGACCGTCCGTCTGCTTGTTCTTCGGAACTCCAACTTATCATTTGTATTAAATTCCTATTTGCAATATCAGATTGCTTTTATCTTGTTCTTACTTGTTTCTTCGATTTGCTTGCAGGAATAGGGTTGATCTGCACCGGCAAGATCAACAACCCACGGAGAGGTGTATCGATCGCTAAGGCGCAACACAACGTCTCGTACGGTTGTAGTCGGATCGTCAACGTTTCTCCCAAATCGTAGTTATCACAACTCACCGAAAGATCGGGCCAACAACAGCCTTGAGTGTCGAGAGGAACTCAGGGTTCATCAGGTGGTATCGGAGCTTTCGTTGCTCGGTGAGTTTTTATCTTCCTATAACCAGAAAATAGCCATACAAAAAAATTCGTATCATTTACCTAGCCATATTGTGCCATTGCATTGTTCTTTTCAATTTTTGCTTTGTTGAATTTTGTGTTGCATCGTCACGTCGTGTTGCTGGTCTTAGCGTCTAGTTCGTTTAGAGTTTCGAGTTCTGGTCACGTTTTGTACCACAGTCGTCGCTGCCACCGTGTCTCTGTTGTTGTCGGGACCTACAAAAACGGAATCGGCTTGCTGCCACGGTTCTGTTTTTGTAGTTTTCAGAATTTTTTATCGGTCAGTTTTGGAGTTGCATTTAGGATTTGCTTGAGTTTCTGGTTTGCCCGTGAATAGATCGGCCTGTGCTTGTTGCCGGTGTAGAGAGGAGGAAGAAGAATTTCCAAATCTGTTTTTGGAAGTATGAGAGTTTAATCTGGAAAGAAATAGTAGATCAGATTGATTGAAATCAGTTTCCCTTTTTCTCTCACCATAACCAGACTCCTAGGTAGTGTAACAACCTGAAAATTCGACAAACGAAATCAAAACTCTAAAAATGCGGACTTTCAAAAACTTTTTAAACCGATTGCATCATGCCGACTTCATTCGCCTATTTCATTGGATTTTGATGTCGGAGTCTATTAATCGCGAATAATGAATGACTAGCTAGGAACAAACCATAAAAGAAAATCTAGTTGACTAAATAAATAATTAAAATATAATTAAAATAAAGGTTAGGTGGGCTTGGAAATAAATAAAATATTATCGCAACCATATTAACAATAATTAAACTTTTGTGCGATGGAATAACCCTAATTAAAATAAATTATATAAACAAAATATGAGTGATATTAAATTAGGTGAATCTTTAGTTAGAATAATATAAATATGGGGTAAAACTCCATTTATGCAAAAATTAAGAATTTCGGAATCAAATTCATATGAGAAACACTCTAAAATCGGTTTATTGGAAAAGTGCACTGTTCATTGCCCGCCACGTGTTCGACCTGGTCCCCAGCCTTTCCCCTCCCCTGCCACGCGCGCCGCTCCCCGTCGCGTCGCCATCCCAGCGCCGCGCGCCGTCACCATCGCCGTTGCCGCGCCGCACCGACGTCGCGTCGCCTCGCGCCTCGCGCCCGCGCGCCGCTCCCCGTCGCGTCGCGTCGCCGTCCCATCGCCGCCTGCCACCTCGCCCCGCGCGCCCACGCACCCCGTCACCGCCCGTCGCGTCGCCGTCCCCTCCCGCGCCGAGCCGCTCCGAGCCCCGCGCCGCGCCGCCCGCTCGTCGCCATCGCCGCGCGCCGTCGCCCGTCGCGTCGCCGTCCCGTCGCCGCTCGTCCGTCGCCGTCGCGTCTCGCGTCCCGCCGCGCGCCGAGCCCCGCGCCGCCCCGAGCCCCGCGCGCCGCCCCGAGCCCCGCGCCGCCATCCCGTCACCGCAGCCGCGCCGCCGCCCCTCTTCCCTCTCCCCTCTTCCCCATTATCTCCCCCCTTCCCTTATATAATTTTCCCCCCCACTCCCACTCT